AGGGAGAAAACAGGGATCAAAGTGATCCTGCAGTGCTTTGATCCCTTCCCCCTACACTTGCTAAGCCCCACTTAGATTTCTTAATTTTGGCTTAGAAAAGTGGGGGGGGTCTTATACATGGGGATGTCTTATACATGGAAAAATACGGTAAATTGTTTATTTATCTTTTGGTTTTTAATCACAGATGTTCTTTTATTATTGTTTAGGATCACTCATTAAACTTCTCATATTTGATTACACGTTTGCTTATTCAGGTGTATTTACTTATTCACATTAACCCACTCATTAATATTCTCTGACTATCTATTTAGCTTTACTATTCCTTTTATCTCCTTCCCATTCTTTCTCTAACTCTCCAACTTTCCAATTCTCTCTTCTTAACTCTCCACCAACTCCTCTCTAGCTGCCTCCCTCTGTCCACCTGTCCCCTTGACCCCACCCCTCCTGTCTTCTCATAGGCTCCTGCCCTTGAGCTTCAGCTATGATTGACAGGAGGGATGTGGGCATTCCGCCACAGAGGGTTTTTATCCTTCGGTAGGAGGCATGGAGGACACAGGGCTCTCCAAATGTTGGTGGTCCATAGCTACCCATCGGTAGTTTGCTACTGGAGGAAAGGGAGCGGGGAAATGGGTTAGTGGAAGGCACAGTGGATTCATTTGCCCTTGCTTGGCTTTCTTGATAGCAGGAGTGGGTAGGACACAGTGGGCCACCAATCCCTCTTTCCCCCCCAGCCGGGGTGACCCAAAGGGGACGAAGGATGATCGGGGTTGTGCTCTAGCGACATCTGGATGGCCACTTGTGGTTGCAACTGTCTGGTTCAGTTCTGCCTCTGTCGTGACTTAACTCTTTTTAGCTGTTGGGCAGAATTCTCGCTGCCGTTCCACCTTTCCTCGCTCGGGTTTGAATGAGATTGAAATTAGGGGCCTCCTGGCCACCGACCGCACGCTCTCTTGCTCAACGATGGGCCTTCCCGTTTGACAAAGAGAAAGCCACCCCCAGCTTGATTTCCGGGTTCTTTTTTTCCCTACCTGACTACGTTTTGGCCAAGAGGGCAAGTGTTCTGCACTTCAGAGCGGAACGCCGTACAGAGGGAACCCTCAAATCTGCGGTGAAGAGGTTCCAAGCCTCCTCCCCCAACCGATATTGAAAAACACGGACAATCTCTTCCCTTTTCCTTTGCAGGTCTACAAGCGGAAAACGGAGGCAGCCAAAAAAGAATATTTGAAAGCGCTGGCGGCGTATCATGACAACCAGGAGTGCCAGGTAGTTATGGATGTTTTCCTTCCATTCATATCCTTCCTTTCCTCCCATTGAGCTCAAGCTACCACACTCTTCTCTCCTCCATACATTTAATCCACACAACAACCCTGCAGAGCAGGCTAAGAGAAAGAGAATGACTGACCCACGGCCCCGAGGGCCATCTCCTAAGTCCAGCATTCTAACCACTACACCACACTGCCTGTGGCTTCTTAGACTGAATAAGATAGCGCTCTTTTAATAATAATAATAATAATATAATTTATTGTCATTGTAAGTATATACACAGTATACCCATACAACGAAATTCACAGACACCCAGAGACCAGACACATGCACACACATAACATTCCCCAAACACTCCCCACCCACTAAAAGTCCCCCACTAAAAATGCAAACATCTACACCGCAGGCCAAGTAACACAGTCCAACTAATTATTCACTACTGGTGGTCTTTAAGCTCATTAAGCTTTTTAAATTGATTATACCTTGATTTCCCTCCAGTAAACTGAAGGCCCTCCTCCATGCCACTGTCTGCTAAGAACTGACCTGCAAAGCAATTCAGGTTGAAAGAATGGGACTGGGTCACCACCATCTTGGCATGGTAAAGACCTAAACCTGGCTGTCCCGGGTTTCAGTCCGACACTTTAATGTCTGCCTCCCAAAGCAACATGCTCAGCTACCCTCCCGCTTTATCCTTGTATCATAGCTCGTCAGGGATTTCAGCGTGAATCCTGCCAGTCTTGTTGGTGGGTGGCCTAAGGATAGGGAACCTCCTTTCGTGGGTAGCTAGGTTTGGCCCCTTCTGCGTTCACATCCTCTCCAGGCCAGGCGTTTCACAACTCAACGAGCCACCGAGGATGGTGCTTTCAATGGAAGATGCTCTGCTTTTTATGGGTAGCTTTTCATGCTTTCACATTGCTTAACTACAGTGGTTGTTTTAATGCAAAACATGTAGTTTATGGCCAAAATCCCATTAGCAATTTACCTCTGTGTAAGTAAAATTGCAAACCAGATTGTTGCTAATTAATGAGATGCCGGCCATGTTCCTGTTCTTCCTAAGTGTTCAAGACAAGATGCCCAGCATCTTCCTGTCATATGACTGGGAATGCAACCAGCACCTTAATTCTTAATTTGCCACTATATTTTCACTTACCCGCACATGTATTGTTAATAGGAACCTGGCCATTGGAACTTACAGTAGGACCCCTCCATGTCCACAGGGGATTGGTTCCAAGCCCACCAACACATGCGGCTGAAAAACACGGATTATAGCAAACCCTATTCCTCTAGTAAATGCTATGGTCTGTGGCTCCCTTGAGTGGCCACTTTTGGTAACTTCCTCTTTAGAAATATATATTTCTAGGATTTTTCTTTTAATATTTTCAGGCTGGGTGTGTGTTAGTGTGTGTGTGTGTAAGTAAGTGAATCAGTGGATACAGATCCCGTGGATAAGGGGGTTCTTCACTGTACGTATTTTCGTGTTAGCCGTGTCTGTTTTGTTACTGTTTCACGAGCCACCTTGGGTCCCCATCCTGGAAGGGAGCTGGGAGATTAGACGAGAGAGCAGAACACTCTTAACCCCTGAACTCTCTGGGTTTTTGTCTCTACAGGCGGTTGTAGAAACGGTAGAGCCGGACACGATCTCCTCGCCGCCCGAGCAGCCGGTGCCCGCTGCC